CTCACCTTCAACCTTGAGCAAGGTCAGTGCTTTGCCAGCTAATGCAAAAGCTTTCAGAAGCTGTTGTGTTGGGAATCTCTGATTAAATTGTACACCACTGTGTATGAGATACAAATATATTTTTACACTGAGGTATTGTATGAGTTCTCCATACAATGAAATTTCATAATAACTATGTGTAAATAAAGAAAAGAAGAAATATTTTAGGACAGTGGTTTCGATTTGAGCAATTTAAACATGTCGCCTCTCAGGCCAGCAGAGGTAGCTATGAATTAAAATAAAATGCAAGTGCCTCGGGCAAGCCGCTCAGTCAGCCGCTAGATGGCAGGCAAGAGGAACTGGGCCTACAGCAGACAGCGCAATTCAAGGCAGCGGCGGCAATTAAGAGACAGTGCAGTTGGTTTTGATTCACCTACATCCTGGTGCAGGGGGGATGATTCTGCTCATCGTCTACTGAGATTGTCATCTTGGGTTGTAGAAAACGGCATTCCCCAAACGGGGCTGCACACAGAGACCAAGTTCACCAGCAGTCAGGCCAGCCTCCTGCCTTCACTCAACAGTCATGCAGGAAGGGACCCTCGTTCTGCTTTCCGGGAGCCTGGCACAGGGTGTGGCCTTTGCTGGGGCATCCTACCTCAGGGTAGCCCCACACATGAGTTCTGGGGGATAACTGGATGAGTTAACAAAAACCCTGGCCCTTTAAAACAACCTTGTACACACAGAGGGTTTAGTGCCCTGAGAGGTGTCTCTGAAGAGCAGACGGGACAGATGAGCCCAGTGACCTCTGGGGAGGGAGGCAGGGTGTTAGACTCTCCTTCCGTTACAATATTAAGATGCACTGTCAAAGAGTCCCCATATTCACACAGTAAGTAATGCTAACTAGAAAACATTTTTTCCCCTCAGATATTTTACTAAGGTAATAATCCTCTTATTGGCATCATAAAACAAAGTTGCTCATGTTCTAGAAACTAAAATAGCACAGTCTAGCCCATAAAGCCAGATCCTCTGGAGTATAATAACCTACTTTTGTTGGTCTATGAAAATTTAGATTGATTTCTTATGATGACTCTTCTTTTTGCCCCTTTATTGAAAATAGACATTTTTCCTTACATAATAAATCCTGATTATGGTTTCCTCTTCCTCTACTCCTCCTAGATCCTTTCTCCCTCCCCTCCCATGTGGATCTACTCCCTTTCTGTCTCTTTTTAGAAAGCAAACAGGCTAAGGGATGGGATAGCAATAAAATAAAACAATAAAACAAAAACTATCACATTGAAGTTGGACAAAAGGCACAGAAGGAAAAGATTCTAACAGAAGGCACAAAAATCAGAGATCCACTCATTTGCACACTCAGGAATCCCATAAAAACACTCAACTGGAAGTCATAACATATATGCAAAGTACTAGCACAGTAAAAAGAGATAAAATTATACAACACACACACACACACACACACACACACACACACACACACACACACACACACACACACACACACACACACACACACAAGCCCTGACACTGTAAGACAAGAAAACAAGAATCCTCCAATGATGCCATGGAGTTGATGTTCTGCTGACCCTCTACTGCTGGGCATGCAGCCTGCCCTTAAGAGTAGTTTGTTTCCCTAGTGAGACTCCCTTGGGGGAAGCTAAAGTTCCATTTGGTTATCAAGGGAGATGGCTTCTGGGTTAGGATGGGGAGTGTCCACTTTTTTCAGTTCTAGGGCCTCACCCAGGCCCCGTTTGTGTTGCCTCAGTCTCTGTGCCAATCATGTGGGTTTAGAGGCCTTTTTTTCTTGGAGTCCTCCATCCCTCTGGCTCTTACACTCTTTCTGCCTCCTCTTCCATAGGATTTCCTGAGCCCTGAGGGGAGGGACTTGATGGAAACACCCCATTTAGGACTGAGTGTTCCACGGTCTCTCACTCTCTGAGTAATACCTGACTGTGGGTCTCTGTATTTGTTCCCATCTGCTGCAGGAGGAAGCTTCTCTGATGATGGCACAGATCTGTGAGTATAGAAGAATGTCATTTTATTGCTATGTTTTTGTTTGTTTTGTTTTTAGAACTATAGCATTTGGTTTTATCCTAGGTCCCTGGGCTATTTAGTCTCAGGCTCTTGGTCACCCAAGCAGTGTCAGGTGTGTTTTTCTCTTGTGGAGGGGGTCTTCAGTCAAATCAGATACTTGTCGATTAACCCCCACAAGCTTCCTGTCACCATTGCGCCAGCATACGTTGCAGCAATGTAGATCAAATTTGTGGCTAGGCTGGTGTTTCCGTGTCTCCTTTGGTAGAGTGCAGAGTACTATCCTGTACCTCAGATGCAGGGAGGGTGAAGGCTCTGTGTCGGCACCAGCTCTATAATCAATGAGCAGTGTGGATGTTGTGTTCAGCTGTGGGGCCTTGCTGCCACGACTCTTCCAACCAGAGCATTCCAATCCCCACCTCCGCTCTCACTCTGCTGATGCCTACAACACTGCCCACCGGGGACACCAACTGTCGGCACCGCATGACCAATGCAGAGCATCAATGGCTGTCACTTCCACAGAAGCGGAAGTGTCCCCCAAACAGACCTCATACCAGTCAGGGAAGTCTCCTGAGCTCCTAGGCAGCTGTGCTTTATTTTTGGTACAAAGAAACAAGAATAAATAGATCGGTTGCATTTGGTTGGTATGAATGTAGACACCCTGTGCAGGCTTTTAAGTAATGTTGACACTATAGTAGTATTTCTAAGAATATTAGAAAATTATTTACTCAGTCCATTACTTGTTCACATATTTGTCATTCTGCAGTTTTTCAGATACTGCCCTTTTACATACAGATGTAAATGTTTTGTTCACTTGCCCCCAAGCATTCTGCTGCTTCAGCCAAGGGCTTAAGATGTTTCCTCTTCTGACGTAAGAGACTGATGTCCATCTAGGAAAGCTTGGTGAGCTATCAAGAACCATGTGGATCGGATCAGTGAAATCCACCACTCCCTTCCCCGTCGCCTACTTCATTTCCCCTCTTAGCAGTGGAGGTAAAGCTGGAAAACCCAGGTCTTAAGTACTCAGACCTGAGTTCCAAGCTTGAGTCTGTTGGCAGAAAACTATGTGATCCCAGGCAAGTGACCCAACCGTACCAATTCCCTACAGTAGCATCTTCTAGATGGCTACGTCTGATTAGTCTGAAGTGGGAGACAACGGAACAAATGCCAACAATCATCGACGATCCTCCAGTCCAGTTTTCTGACTTTCCCAAGGAGTCCCCAGGCTGCTGTGAGAAATGCTGAGCAGGTAAGGGCGACTGCAGTAAGGGCGGGAGGCTAGAGCGGCCTGCCACGTCTCCCAGTGAGCGGCGAGCAGAGGGCAACGCTCTTCTCTAGTTAGTGTGGAAAGAGCTCCATGTGGAGAAGGCTGCTCTGGCATGCCCCCAGTTCAGTCATTTTCATCACCAGAGACACGCTGTCAACCCCCCAGTTATAAAACAAGGACACTGAACTCCCCTGCTCTGTCACTCTTCCTTCTAGCTATGACCTCATCATCCGCTGCACGGTAAAACTCAAGGCTTGTCTAGATGCACTGCTTCCAAGATCTCCCTTCTGCTCTTCTGAGTCCATCCCAGTGAGGCTTTCCACCCGAGTGCGCCTGATGACGACCACATACATGCTAAGCTCAGTGTCCCTCAGATGGGTCTTGACGAGATGGGACACAGTGGTTTCTCTCTGAAGTGGTTTCTCTCCACAGCACCACTCAGGCTTCCCTAGTGCACGCTGGCACTCTCTCTCACTCTCTCGCCTCCTCAGGCCTCGTTCTCTCACGAGCCCAGGGCAGCTGGGATCATGGCTTTTAATTCTACCCACATATGGTGAGTCTCAAATTCACATCTCTCCCTGGAACCTCTTCCTGACTTCCCAACTCACCTGTCGACTCTCTCTGTGTGCGGTGGTTTGAGCGAGAGCGGCCCCCATAGGCTCATACAGTTGAATGCTCAGTCACCAGGCAGTGGAACTCTTTGACAGGGTTAGGACTAGGAGGTGTGGCCTTGTCAGAGGAACTGTGTCACTGGGGGTGGGCTCTCTGTCTGTCTGTCTGTCTGTCTCTGTCTGTCTGTCTGTCTCTCTCTCTGTCTGTCTGTCTGTCTCTGTCTGTCTGTCTGTCTGTCTCTCTCTCTCTCTCTGTGTCTGTCTCTCTTCTCATGCTTCTGCTCTAGAACCTGCCTGCACGCTGCCATGCTCCCCACTATGATGGTAGTGGACCAAGCCTCTGAAACTGTAAGCAAGCCCCAATTAAAATTAAATGCTGTCCTTTATAAGAGTCACCTTGGTCATGGTGTCTCTTCACCAGTGACTAAGACAACATGCCTAACTAACAGACAGCTCAAGCTCACAAGTCCCATGCTGAGCCCGATTCTACCCAACACCTGTCCCAGGCACATAGTCTCCCTCTCTTTTCCAGTTGCTCAGACCAATGCTTGGAGAAATCCCTGGACCTCACACCCCATGACCCACAACAACCCCTGCTGACTTTGATTATGAGAAAGTTCTTTTCATCCATGCCACCAATGCCACTACTGCAACCCACTGTCTCTTCCCATCTGCCTGTACAGCCTGCTCCACAGAGCTTCTCACTGATTATAATTTAGTTCAGGGTATCCATTTTACATATACCTACACACACACACACACACACACACACTTAGAACTGTTCTCTGAAACATGTATATAACAAAGTATGTTTAAGTGTATGGATTTCAAACAATATAGAAAGTCATTTTGAATCAGTGACTTTATTAAATAGGCAACACCAATTTATAGAGAACAAACATTAGCTCTGAATCAGTCATTAATTATATTTAAAAAACTTAAGTTACTAGCAACAGGAAGTTGCCTACATATTGGTGAGAATTTAGTCATATTCTGTGTCACTACTACAGAAGACAAAGACCAAATTATATGCAAATCTGAAAACCAGGAAGTTTGGACAACACAAAGCCAACAGCCAATCAAGGCTGGTTACTTACACTGTGAACTCCCAAAGCTTTCCAGACTGCGAAGCTGATAACTCCGACCCCACACCAGGCATAAAGAGAGCCCCAGCCCAGGGCTCGTAGGGCAAGGGAAGACCCACTCTCTGGTATGGCAGCTGTGGCCATGGTGCCCTGGAATGAACACAGAAAGCTTGGTAAAATACTCAGTAAATGTTCTGGAATTGTTTGGAGCAGGTTATAGTTCTCCCTGGGTAAACAGCCTGACCTGGGAGGCCAGCCCAGCCTAGGGTCAAGTGGCAGGCAGCTCTGCTAACTCTGTACGCACGTGAGTTCTCTGACTGATGGATATTCGAATGTGGGGCACTGTGATCATTTATTCTTCCAGAAAAGTCTAGAACATCCCATCAAGATTCACTGGCCTTGGGACGGGCGGTGGTGGCACATGCCTTTAATCCCAGCACTCGGGAGGCAGAGGCAGGCGGATCTCTGTGAGTTCGAGGCCAGGCTGGACTGACAGCCTCCAAAACAATACAGAGAAACCCTGTCTGGTAAAAACCAAAAAAAAAAAAAAAAAAAAAAAAAGGATTCACTGGCCTTTTCATGCAAACTACGTTAGAGTAACTAGCTAATGTGATGGGGGCTAGTGGATTTACAACACTGTCTTCCACCTGGAAAGATGATTTCACGTCACCAAATCTCTTCCTGATTTTAGAGACTTCTTAGTGCAGGCCCTTCCTATGCATGTGTGCTGTGTGGTGCCAGGTGCTACTCCTAGCAAGAACACCTGTCTGCTAATCTGATTGACCACAGCCTAACATTAAGACCAGATTGGTGGATTCTCCATGCTTGCTGACCGACACTTTTGGTAGATATCTCAGATCTAACCAGGTTGTCGAAATCCTAGCACTTACATACACACAGACACACATGTATCTGTCTGTCCATCTGTCCTCCATGCCTTCTCTCTATATCTCTTTGTGGTGTGTGTGCATTAACAGATAAAAGGGGAATAATAATATTATTATTTTGGTTTTTCAAGACAGGGTTTCTCTGTGTAGCTTTGGAGCCTATCCTGGCACTCCCTCTGTAGACCAGGCTGGCCTGGAACTCACAGAGATCTGCCTCCTCTGCCTCCTGAGTGCTGGAATTAAAGGCGTGTGCCACCAACGCCCAGCCAAGGGGAATAAATTTTTTTTAACTTGAGTTCGCACTTTGCATTTCCCTTTTCTTTATTCAAGAAATTACAAAGAAAGATATATGTTCTCTCAATACTATTCTTTTTCAACTTTCAGGTTCCTAGTGTAAGACCAATCGATCAGAAAATATAGCACTAAGGCAGTCCCCAAATGAAAGGTTCATCATTTGAAAGTCCTTTTGGGTTGCAATTTGAATCTGTTTTCAGGAGAGCACAGCTTATTTAAATAAAAGTATTGCTAAAAGTGGTACATTTATCCCTTAGGGGGACAAAGAGGGAGTATCACGTTATACCAATTGCTTAATCCATGCGTGCCTCAGTGTCCTGCTGTTAAGTGTGTCAGGGGCTGGGCTGTGTGTTAAATGAGTGAGGCCCTTGGAAGAGCAGCTAACACACTGGAAGCATTCAGGGTTGGGGCTAGTACCGGGAATGGGAGAGAAGACCTCCAGTGGTGACTGCATGCCACAGCCTACATGACACTCTTGAATGGGTGCTCAGGATGAACTCAGTAACCACACACTGTCAGGCGATCATCTGGTAAGTGGGGATTTGCTAATTTCAACATTTCCCCATGTGGGGCAAGCGTACATAACATTTTAGCCATTCTGTGCAGGGTTTCTAAAGTTCCTTTACACATGGGCCCCAAAGATGTTCAAATATGTGGGCGTTATCAATATCTAATATATTAGAAATTAAAGCAGAAATTTATACTGTATTCATTTAAAATGCCAAATCCATTATATACTGCTATAAAAGAACTCTCTTTCTTACCCCCCATCCCCCAAAAGCAGGGAAGATCGATGTTTCACACTTTTGTTAATCTTTTAAATGTCCAGTCTAAAAAGTGGCTTTTCACATCTATAATGGATCCCTTGTAAAATGTTTCCTTACATTTTTCATTGCTAGCTGAAGTATATGAATAAGACTCTGGTCTCACACAGGTGTGTGGTTAGAAAAAGAAGTATTTGATTAGCTTTTTTTCTTTTATACAAGTACTGAACAAAAAAAAAAAACCTTCTGAAGTTTGGTTGCCATAGGGAGTCCTATTAGTGAAAAATTTGCCGTTTGTAACGTTCAAATCACTAGTCAACTTTGCACTCTGAACAGACACCATTCCACACAGAGTGACTATTCCACGAAGAAGGGACTAGCTTACTAAATCACACAGATCTCTCAACTGCTGATCTCGTGTTAAACAGTATTTAAAATCAGGACTGAAATCATAACATCTTATCAGCAGAATTGTTAATATTTGAGAAGCTGTCAAGTTCGTGATGGTAGTTACGAGTCTAACTGTTTTCACTTGCAAGCTTACTATCAGTGGCAACCAAGACTGACAGCTGCCCTCCTGAAGAGCCGGGCTTACTTGTTTAAGGAAACACTCCACTTCCCCGCAGTCTGTCTATTGTTCCTTCACAAAGAAGCTCCTTCAGGGGAAGACAAGCTGAGAAAAGCACATCTCCCACCTGTCATAGGAATCTTAAAAGTCAGGAATATCTAAGTCTCACCATTGAACAAAGTTAGTAACCCTATTACTTCAACAATGACAATTACATATTGCTGGTTCCTTTTAATTTTTTTTAAAATTACTGGTGAATTACAATGAGGGACACAGTGACCACAAGAATGGATTTGTGCCATTGCTGCCATGTATGCCAAAATCCGTAGCATCCACTTTAGTGCGTGTCTCTAAACAAGAATAGGGAAACAGCTGTCTCAAGGGCCATCAGGATTCTGTGGACCACAGTGTAACATCGTGTTAGACCACAAATGGCACTCGGGATGACCCAGCCCCAGAACAAAACAAAGCACCAAGTGTCAACATGTAGAACAAGACAATCCCTAACTCTCATCAGATTCTTGAACAGATCCCTGACCCAAGGGTTAACATAATAACTGTGCTTTGGAAATCAAACACAACTCACTCTTAAACACCAATATTGTTTGGGTCTTAATGCCAAATGCCACAAAATAAATTTCTTCTTTAAAAAATGTTGCATGGTATAGGGAGAAAATGACCCACAGGAACCACCGAAATGATCTTAGTAGGTCCATAAGTCTTTAGAGCATTGAGAGGGAATTGAAAGGCATTTTAGATACAGTCTCTTGTCATTATGGTATCCATAAAAGCTTAAGTATGATTACTACAGGTAAGTGGGAAGAGAATTGGTTTGTGATTTTTCACATAATATTCTCCCGTAGTGCACATCAAACTAATTACATAGTTATTCGTGTGAATACTAATGTTGTCTGAGGGTATAGCCATGCTACTGATTTCTGTGCCCTTCCACCTCAGTAGCAGAGTGACTGAAACTTAAAAGATCCCAAGTAAACATTTGCGGATGTGAATAATGAATAAATCAGCCACACAGATGGAGGGGAAAAGAGGAAACATGACAAGCAACTACACATAGCTACCAGAGCATTTCCCACCAACCGGGGAAAGTAGGTTACATTGCACAGCAAATGCATGCTCTTGCTAACAGAATACAGATCTTCTGTCTCAAGTGGGTTACAGCTATTCATCCAATGCTTTCGGAGCAACTATTCTGAGCACATGTGTACCAGGAGCTTTACAGTGACCCAGGCTGAACAATGTCTGCTCCTTGCATTTAAAAAAAAAAGGCAAATTTGTCACTCATCTTAAAGAATGCTGACATTTTAACATCTATGAAATAGACACACTTCTTGAAACCAGCATCAACAGTTTCAGCGGCATTGTTTTTCTTTCTAAGCAGGGTCTCTTGTTATCAATTAATACATTACTAAGAGTAGGAAAGGCAATGGCTAAGTTTCCAAAGTTTTGTTGTGTTAATTTTAAGAGAGCACACGAAAAAGGTCAAGACTGACAACTAACATACTTCTTAAATCCATGAGGTTTTGTGGGTGTATTTTTGAAAACAATGTGAAAGGTCACTATTTTTTCCTATGCAAAAAAAAAAGCTGTTCTTTGTTAAAAACAATAGCAATGCTATGAATAGATTTTGGAGTTACAAACCTTATTGAACCATTCAGGGCTTTTCTTTTTAGCTAATGACAATGTTGTGACAAATCCGGCTAGCATTCCCGCTGCTGCAGCAGAACCAAGGAAAATTCCACCTGCCAAGAATTGGGAGAAGGTATTAAAAATAAAGTTTAAACGAAAAACATTTTCACAAGTGTCAGATACTTTTACGATTGCATTTAAAAGTCAAAACATCAAGGTTAAGTGGCTCTTGAGAAAATCTGAGTGGCCTCCCGACCTCGGGTTCCTGGGGACACTCTGTGAAGCACAGTTCTCCGGGGCTGAGAATGGGTGTTTTCCCTTGCCCGTCTTCTAGGACAGCAGCGCGAAGTTGCAAAAGTAGCAGGTACGAGGAAACTCTATAGAGAGGGTGGGTAAATACAGCACGGACCGGAAACTACATCTGCCCGCCCCTGCAGGGAAACTTCACCTGGTGAGTGACGCTTGGGCCCACAGGCTGAGTTCAGGGTAAAGCCCAAGATAAGGCGGAATGAGTTCGAGAACATCCCATTCCAGCGCAGGGCAACATTACCTTTAATCAGGAAGAGCCGATCGTCCTGGGACCCTGGAGCCTCTCTTGGAGAAGGCTCCCCAGGGCCAGAATCCGCAGTCTCCATGTTTAAAGTCTCTCCTAACGTGTCCGTTTCCAAAGAGGCCCGAGTGGAATCGCACGGGAGAGAGAAGAAAGGTTCCGCAGCAGCGTTCCCTGCGCAACCTGAAGACTGGTCCGGATCGCCGCGGTGTCCCCTAACTCTCGTGGAAGAAACGTCAGGGATGCTCTGAGCCAGCAGCACAGAGCCGAGGGCGGCGTCCTAAAAGAGAGCCTCCCTGGGAGGATCACTCGCCTTCTGCAAGGTGATGATTCGCTGGATTCGAGCATTTCGTATACTTGAAAGCGTGCTCAGCTCCCTCTAGGAGGCAGTGAGGGGTCGCAGATAGAGCCGGGAGCCAGGTTTCCGCCCGGCTGGGATCCTGGAGCTCAGTTTACCACTAAGCGGTGCACTGCATCCAGGGGTTTGGCCCACATTGACAAGCCACGATTCTAAAAGGCAAGCCTCGGCGTTTCCCCCGTTTCTTCCTGAGGAGTTTCGGAGTAGTTGTTACTTCAGATCTAAGTGTTCAATCCTGGAAGAGAACCAGCCTGCCAGCCCCGAAGCACACGCCTTCCCGACGATCGGATTTGCCCGTCAGCAGTGGGGGCTAGCTAAATGAAGGAATGAACCGTACCAGCCCGGGCAGCCGAGCATAGAGGTGTGCGCGCGGGGCTTGCTGCGAGCCTTACTACCCTGCAGGCAGGCCTGATCCTTACAGTCTGGGAGGGCGATGTCCCAGTGGCGGCGATGGATTGAATACCTGAACACTGAGGGAAGGAGGCCAGTGGGGAGCAGCAAATGTTTTCAGCCCCTTAAAGGGAGGCAGGAGACTCATGATATCATTTTTTTTTAAATGAAGCCAGCCCACTTGCCGTTATCTTTTTCTGATCACTCTAGTGCCTGGGCTCCTTGAGGGTGGAGGTGGGGATCTATATTCATTTTATATTCCCATGCTCTCAGCCTATTGCCTGGTCATGTATAATAAATGCGCGTCAGAAGAGTGAGCAAGTGAGTGCACTCGGTTTTGCACCAGTTAAATGCATCTATTAGCTCAAACCTGCTTTCAGATCCTAAAGCCCTTCCCATCTGTGAGAACTTGGTGTTACGTAGTTTCTCGTTACTCCATTTGCCTCATTTGTTAAGTATGGAAACTACCTCATAGGGTTTCTGTGAAAATTAAATGAAGGTGTGTGTGTGTGTGTGTGTGTGTGTGTATTGTACATTCCTCTCAATCACTGGGAAAGCTGATAAAAGTGGATCCTAGCCTAGGTAACAAAACAATATGCAGTTTCATGGGTTTGTTGTTTGTTTTGCTTTGTTTTGAGGTGGGGATGTGTGTGATGGAGTTAGCATAGCATCTGCCATAGATAATAAATGTTCTAATTGCTGTCACCATTGATGCCAGTAGTTTCTTTAACAATAACTTATGGAAAGTTACCGTTGCTCAATTTCTTCCACTGGAGATTATATCTCTGAAAGTCTGGGGGTAGCATGAGATTCTGATGCTAGGCCGGGTTGAGGACCACTCCTCTGTTTCTGTGCGGATTGGATCACATAGAGTGTGTTTGGCCTTTGAGTTGCAGAGTCTGGGGTGGCCTGTTAAGAGCAGGCAAATGCTGTGCTAGTTTGTTCAAACAGGTGAGGGCTTACTCTTCTTTTCTCCTGTCCTATAATAGTGACCATTGCTGCTAGTGTACCGGTTTGTGAGTCTCTGTTCAGAGGCAGTGGAACCTTTGAACCTCGAGGTCTACTGGTGTGTCCAATCAATTCAGCTTTGGCTAATCAAGAGGAACTGTGGGATCACAGCCCTACCTTCTCCCTGTCCATGCTCCCTTCAAGACAGCATGCAGGTGAGTTCCAGAGCAGCCTGGTCTACGTAGCAAGTTGCAGGCTAGCCAGGGCTACGCAGAAAGCACAGAAAAGGTGTGAGTGATTTTATTGCGTTACCTGTTCTAATCATGAGGTGGATGAGAAAGGACTCTTGCCCATAGCTGTGTTTCTTGTTCACTTGCAACATAAATGAACATGGGACAGAATCCACCTTATCTGGGCCTCCAAAACTGAGCGAAAACAAACCCTTTCTCTTTATATGTGAACTACCTCAGGTGTTTTGTGGTGGTGATAGAAGGCTGTCTAACAAAATACCATACTGGACATAGTGTTTCAAATGATCTGTTCATTTAATCCTCTCTATAAACCCAGAAAGAATAACACACTCAAGTGCACACAGCTGTTGAGGTGGCAGAGCCGGGTTTTCAAAGTGAGTTCTTGCTGACTGACAGGTGCTTTTCACCTACGCTTAGTCCCTGGCCTTCCCTGGACGGGCCCAGAGCATCTGTGTGGGTGAAGGCCTAACAACTTACATGTTTACAAATGGAGAGCCTCATACGATTTCTCTCTCTGTCTCTCTGTATGTCTCTGTGTCTCTGTCTCTGTCTCTGTCTCTGTCTCTGTCTCTCTCTCTCTCTCTCTCTCTCTCTCTCTCGCTGTGTCCCACCAAAACACAAACTAATTTTAAGGATTATATTACCTTTTACCATAAGGACTTGAAGGGAGACTGTTGTGGAATATTACTTTAACTATGTAAAGGTATGCTACATTTGTTTATGCTGCTTTGTTTAACAGTGTAAAAAAGGTGTGCTGCCTTGCCTGCCCAAAGCACCCAATTGGTCTAATAAAAAGATTAAAGGCCACTAGCTAGGTAGGAGAGGGATAAGCAGGGCTGGTGGGCAGACAGAATAAGTAGAGGAGGAATCTAGGATCGTGAGGAGAGAGAGAGAGAGAGAGAGAGAGAGAGAGAGAGAGAGAGAGAGAGAGAGAGAGAGAGAGCACAAGGGTGACTGAGAGGGAAATGCCTAGGGCTATCCAGCCAGGTGGCTGCTAGCTAGCCAGACAGAGTAGGACAAACAGAATGAAAGAAAGGTAAAAAGCCCCAAGGCAAAATATAGATGAAGAGAAACTGATTAAATAAGTTGTAAGAGTTATTAGGACAAGCATAAGATAAGGCTGAAATTCATAATTGATAATAAGTCTCCGTGTCTTGATTTGGGAGCTGACTGGTGGTCCAAGACAGCCTGCTGCAGGAGACTATTTAAATCTAGGGAACTTGCAGAGTCCTCAGCCCCAGAGCCCGCCTCATTGTGTGAGTGCCTTCAAACCCTGTGTGACCCCATTCTGGTTTTATAATGGTGCCGGCACCATGCCTGGCTCTGTGACAGCTTTCCAGAGCCTCAGAAGCCCTTGAAGATCAAGGACAGGAATTCCTGGCTCTGTGATTGGGACTATATTCCAAGCATCCCAGTGAGAACACTGAAAAGAAACATTTCTTGAAGATAGTGTTGTCCAAGGTCTTCTGCGTCCACAGTGTGAGCCATCAGGGACTTCATGTGCAAGCCGATGGGCAGGCTTTATGAAGTTTTAAAACTTATTTTTGTTTTCATTTGATGTCTGTATCTATGTGAGAATATGCTCTGGGTGTGTGTGTGTGTGTGTGTGTGTGTGTGTGTGTGTGTGTGTGATCTCTTGGAGCTAGAGTCGCAGGTGGTTGTGGGGCACCTTGCGTGGGTTCTGGGACCAAACAGGTTCTTTGAAAAGCAGCAAGTGCCCTTAACCCCCAACCACGCTAGCCCCACCCCTGTTTAAGCAATGTTCCCAGCCTCCTGCTTTAAGCACCGTCCTGTTTGGACTTGTTTCTGTGGGAAAACAAGAGACAAGCTCCATATAGGTGATTTGCAAGCCTCCAGAGCAGTCTCTTGTCAGACAGGATGCTCTCCCTACATAGCAAGACAGCACGGCCTCAAGGAGGATGCAGAGGTGAGACGGGGCCTTCTTTTTTTTCAATATATGTTTTTATTTAAATTAGAAATGTGAATGTTTCACATGTCAGTCCCAGCTCCCTCTCCTACCCCTCCTCCCTTGTCCCACCACCAGTCCTCCAGCCCCCTACCCAATCCCCACATCATTCCCCAGTAAGGGTAAGGCCCTCCTTGGGGGTGATCTCCAGAGTCTGTCATTTCATCCTGGGCAGAACCTAGGCCCTTCCCCATGTGTCCAGGCTGAGAGAGCATCCCTCTATTTGGAATGGGCTCCCAAAGCTCATTCATAAACCATGATAAACACTGATCTACCCAAGGCCCCAGTGATTTCTGTGGCCTCCTCCCTGGCACTACATTCATGGAGTCTGGATCAGTCTCCTGTTGGCCTCTCAGTCATTAGTCTGGGATTCAAGATCTCCCCCGTATCCAGTCAGCTGTCTTTGTGGGTTTCATCATCATGGTCTTGATCCCTTTGCTCATCATTCTTCCATCTGTGTCACTAGGGGCCTTCTTTTTTATATACCTTTTTTTTTTAGAAAAAAAGATTTATTTATTATAAATATAGTCTTCTGCCGGCATATATGGATGCACACTAGGAGGGAGCACCAGATCTCACTATAGATGGTTGTGAACCACCCTGTGGTTGCTGGGAATTGAACTCACAACCTCTAGAAGAGCAGCCAGTGCTCTTGACCTCTGAGCCATCTCCCCAGCCCCAGGGTACAGAGGTGAGTCAAAGGGCTTTGATGTGCACTGAAATGCCATCATAAAACCGTTAACCTCAACGAATGCCTGGTTCCCTTTTAGACACATGCAATGAGATGTCCTGCAGGAGGAGAGCACTGAGAAAATGAGTTTATCCAGTAGAGACATTCTTGTCATTCTCCTGTCTGACTGAGTCAGCTAAAAGTCCACACCAGCAGCAAATCGGACCACATTCTTATTTCAAACTCCGATCAGCTTCTGCTCTTTCTCTCATCAATTTTTAAGATATTTATTTGAAGTTTCAGTCATTCTGTGTTTGAAGTCTGAAGCAGAATCATTTGTAAAACCCAGTAAGGGTCATCTATTGGCCACATCAGTTCTAATGCTGCTTGATGTGAAGTAGTTGTCGCAACCCTAGGGCAGAGGTCTCTAAACATTGTTGCCTAATTAAGGACACACATAGAGAAAGACCTGCTGAATTTGAGTCATTAGCAGAGTTTCCTTTGAGAAAAGGAGGAAGTGAGCTTTCTATCTGTAATAGTCAGCTTTCTACCATTTTCTACCATAAATAAGCACAACACTGACCAAAGCAACATGTTCACATGTTGTATAATGTTGGGAACTATTATATCAAGGGGTGCGCATTGACTTAGAGAGAGGGAAAAATAAAGAAGTCGTGTACTTTTTTAAATGTCCTACCTTGTATAAAAAAGACAGTTTTCTGGTTTAAATACAGGTTTCCAGGATAGCTCATCAAACTGGATCCTGGTGACAGCATTCTTGGAAAGGAAGGAACTGGGAGCATTATGTCATGAGGAGAAAGCCTGGGCCACCTGGTGAGCCCATGTGGAGCTCCTCTCTTCATTCAGGCTTCCAGTATCTGCACCAGCTCTCCAGGGCTGTATCTACCTTGAAGTGCACTACCACAATCAAAATGGTGCAATATCAACAGTAAGTACAGCTATGATTCCCCTGGAGTGAGCTGAAGCTTGGGGGAGGGGACTCACTGTTCACTCCCGGTGTCTCCTTACTTATCTTTCTGATTCCCTTTCTGTAACTCTCCCAGGTTGATTAATGTGTCTGTCTCCATCATGGTAAATGAAAGTTGCCATTGCAGGGACTTCCTTTCCATTTTTCTTTCCTGGTTCTTTCTACGAGATCAGTTGAATTGTGACTCTTAATGGTCATCGAAGAATCCTCTTGACAGCTATTCTATTTCTCGTAATTCACCAGATACATACAATTTCCTTCGATGTGTTCCTTTCTCTTGTGAGGATCTGCTATTTAGGACTCTCTCCCAAGTCAGCTGCCACCATCAACAGGAGTTCTCCTCAATCAGATAGGGCCTATGGACTATTTTCATCCCCTCATAGAAGGAGGGAGGAAGGGGAGGCCATAGAACCCTTACCTGAGTATCCAGGCTCCCCTCCCAGCCAGCTGTATGTAAGTTTTCCCTAGCTACATGTGGTCTTAGGGGAGGAGATAGAGGATGAAGATGGAGAAGGATGAGGGGAGATGGTTCCATCAATTAGTCCTGGGGAAGCCATCGTCCTTGCTGGGTGTAGACCATCCAATGTGGCTATTTTAAGGTAACTGATTACTCATCTCTTTGTAATAAGCCTACCCAGTAAACTCATTGGTCTCTAGGGTGAACTCTGGTGCAGTCAGACATATTTGCTGTTAAATCTGTGATATCAACCACTTGTGTTCACTAAGTGGTTATTAGGTATATTTTATTTATATTAATGTTTATGACCTAACATGATATATTAGAGATTATAAACTACATAAGATACCTGAAATCCTAGAACATAGGATGTAGAGGCAGGAGGATCGAGAGTTCAAGGCCATCTTTGGCTCCATTGCAAGTTCAAAGCCAGCTTGGACTACATAGGACCTTGTGTCAAAACAAAACAAAGTAAGCTTCAGTCTCATGTGTGACAAATGACTATACTATTGACATTGAAGTTGCTTTTCCTACTCATGGCATGTAGTTTCCAAGCATCCTTTATGGTTTTAGGTTCTGAGTCTATTCTGGTAAAGTGCAGATACAGGATTTTGCTTGTTGGGCCTTACAGAGCCAGGCTTTAGCTTTCTAAGTAGTAGGACTTTCTTAGAGCTGCCTTCGTCACTGATATTTGTCTCAACTGGAAGTCTTGTACTCTGTCCCTCCATAAGTGGTCTGTTCCTGGTTTGCAAAATCTGCTGTTTCACATGGGAGGCTATGGAAGTCCAGGAGATAGGTGTGCGTGTGCACCAAACCTGGGCTGTGAGTGCCCAGAATGCAGAGGGTACTGCAAGAGGAGAGACTGGCTTCTATAGGTAAGTGTGGCAACTGGGGTCTGTGTCAGACGCCCAGAAGCAAGTAAGCTTCTCCTGGGGGATAAAGCTGCTGGAGGGTCAAGGCAATAGAGGCTGTCAATCAAAGTGTTCTTGTGAGATGAAATGGGATTTCTAAACAGGGAATGTGGTGGTTTGAAAGAAAATGGCCCCCAAAGGGAGTGGCACTATTAGGAGGTGTGGCCTTGCTGGAGTAGGTGTGGTCTTGTTGGAGGAAGTGTGTCACCGTGGAGGCGGGCTTTGAGGGTTCACAGATGCTCAAAGTCATGCCCAGTGAGAACAGTGCACTTCCTGGTGCCTTCTGCTTAAGATGTCACCAGCACTTTGTCTGCCTGCATGCCACCATGCTCCCTACCATGAAGATAATGGACTGAACCTCTGAACTTTCAGCCACCTCAATTAGATGCTGTCCCTTATAAGAGTTGCCGTGGTCATGGTGTCTCTTCACAGCAATAGAAACCCTGACTAAGACAGATAATGTGGTGTTGTGGATCCCAGTGCAGAACCACTGGTGTCTCACTGGTTCACAGACAGCAGGTCCCACACCTAGGCAGAACTGGTGACCTGGAGATGGTAACTCTAGGTATTTGTAAGAGTTGGGATAATTGAGAGACACAGATATAGTTAAAATAGCAAAGCAATCACAAAGAGCTTGGAGAAGATGGGGACAGAGTCAAGCACAGTGACACTGGGCCCAAGGCCCAAAGGGAAGTCACACGGGAAGTGCATGCTGAGGAAGGTCAGGAGGAAGGCTGGATCTACCTGACAAGAATGGAGGATGCAGGAAATGGAGAGGACCGACAGGGCCCTTACCTGCAGGTAGTCACGTGCTCATCTGCATGAGGGAGGCATATGTGGGCTGGGATTCAGCCGGCATTCGGTTCACCAAGCCCTGTGCTCTGGAGCTGGGCTGCACGTGGGGAAGGGACACCTCTTGTGGTTCATAAGACACTAACTCTTGGGCCAGTATTGGCTTTGGGGAAGTGCTAAATGTGTACTCTAGCTAGAAGCCAATTACAGAGTCAACTGTTGGAGTATATCATGGTGTCTTATACCACAAGCATATTCTCTCTCTCTCTCTCTCTCTCTCTCTCTCTCTCTCTGTCTCTCTCTCTGTCTGTCTGTCTGTCTCTCTCTCTCTCTCTCTCTCTCTCTCTCTCTCTCTCTCTCTCTCTCTCTCTCTCTCCAGTGTCCATGCTAGAGGCTCAGAAACAAACATTGAGTTAAAGAACCCCCTCATTAGGTCCTAGTGGTTTGTACACAATGTTTCCTCTCAAACTGTTTGAATTTATGTTATTTGGGTAGGGATATAATGGAGCCTTTGGTCAGTTTTATAAAAATAGTTCTGTCTCACCCATAGTCCTCTCCACACCACGAGGGAGGTGTCTGTAGTTACTTCCCACTGGGGTTGCCTTCGCCCGGTCTGGCAATGCTTTGCTGAATTTGGGTTCCTTTGATTTATTCTTGCTTGTGGAATGATACCCTCTGAGAATACGACAATCCAGCCTCCCAGAATATTTCACTCCACAGTAAATTACACGCCAGCTAGACACTGGTGTTTTATTTAGGTCAACTGTGCAGGGCCCGGTGCCCTTTTCAAAAACATTTGAAGCATTTGATGGATTCATTGCCGAGTGCACGATAAAGAAATGAAATGCAACCTCATATTCCAGACAGGGAAAATGATGTGTGGGGGGCTACAGCAGAGCCAGCTCTGTGAATAATGACCCTTTCAAGGTTACAAACAAACAAAAAAACAACAACAAAAACCAAAACCCTGGATTGGTTGTTGAGAATCCAAGGTCAAGTCCCCAGCCCTGTCGGTGACAGAGATCAGCCTTATCTCCATGTCTCTCAGTATGTGCTCTATTCTCTTCCTCTATAATTTGGGGGAATCACATAGCTGACAACTCTCTCCAAGGATCTTTTGGGGTCATGCCAGCTCCTGAAGCTGCCATGTGTTCCCTGGAAACCCACTCACCCACTTCCCTCTACGCCTCACAATATTTCATAATGAAGTAAGTTTGACAAGCAAAATCTAACAGATTTCTTACCCAGGGCTTCTCAGAACCTTCAGGAGGAGGGCATAGGAAGCTACAGTTCTCTCATTATACCATAGAAACCTGTGTTCAGGAACATCTCATGGACTCATGTATCCTTATGTATAGTACTGGAAAATTAAAAAACTGGTTGGTGGCTAGGATTCTTCGAAGTCCCCAAGCTCCATTACAGACTTCTCTTTTATGATAGAGAGAGAGAGAGAGAGAGAGAGAGAGAGAGAGAGAGAGAGAGAGAGAGAGAGAGAGGGAGGGAGAGAGAGAGACTGCCCACTTCCCTCCCTCTTGTAGCTCCTGTCACATCTAATATTCAGAGACGTCACCATTCTGCAATTTTTTCTGGGCCGGGAAGGTAGCAGGGACAGCAAAGGCCAGATCTCATGACAGGGATAGAAAATACCCTTCTAACTTAAAACAAAAACACTGTCTCTCTTTCCCATACCAAGTCAGTGAGTTTTTTAGTTTTAGAGCCATTCAGATTCTAAGAGAAGATGAAGTTTTATAGGGGGATGGGCAGGCAAAAATAATCTACTCCATTCCCATCAATTAGGAACAAAAATGCAGTCTCCAAAGCACATTCTAAATAGTGGCACGGAGAAGCCAAAATAGACTGACGCATGGTAGAATTAGATGCCCTATTTCAAGCCCCGCTGCATGTTTATCCTTGTTGGGCTGCCTCTTCCAGAGTTGCTTGACGACGGTAATGAGAATGACCTTGGATCCTGCAGTTGACAATCTCAAATCCGGGAAAGACTGTTGTGCTTCAATCCCTTTCATCGCAAGTATAGTGTAGCCGCAGGCCCGTGCTTTGCGTACCTCTACCTGGTACCTCTCCTGAATTCATCAGCTGTTCTGCCGTGAAGGGAGCAATGCACCATGGGAAACACAGCCACACCCTCAGCTTCCCAGGGAAAAAAACCAATCAGAGGCAGCCTGAGTTACAGAGGTCCTCGGGTCTCATCACTTTCCACCCGCTTGCCCTGGACAAAGCAAATTGATCAGAATTACCACCAGGCCCAGCGACTTCACCCCCGTGGCAACTATGTCCTTTGGGGATCCGTGACGTCTATAACGTAGCGTCTTGGCTGTGCCTTCTGTCCTGCAGGTCTGTCTGCTCATCTCTCTCTGAGTGCCTCTGCAGTTGCTCCATGTGGGCTTCTGTTCTGATCGGCTTTCTCTGTGGGGGCGGTCTAAATAGGAACGCCCCCCCCATAGACTCACAACACTTGCCCCATAGGGCGTGGCACTGTGAGGAGGTGTGGCCTTGGAGGAAGTGTGTCACTATGGGGGGGGGCTTCGAGGTCTCATATGCTCAAGCTACGCCCACTGTGGCTCATAGTCTCCTCTTGTTGCCTTCGGCTGCCTCTCTTTCTTCAGCACCATGGCTGCCTGCGTGATGCCACGCTTCCCGCCATGGACTAAACCTCTGAAACTGTAAGCCAGCCCCAATTAAATGTTCTAATTTTTAAGATTTGCCATGGTCATGGTGTCTCTTCATAGCAATAAAACCACAGCTAAGACATTTGGCTTCTAAACTCGCTATCTGTCTTTCCCAGGAATCTCACTGGCCCTCGTGGAATCCTTGCTAGAATGGGGAGACAAACCCTTCCTAATGCAACTCATTTAGTGTGATTGTATCGTTGCACACCCACACCCAGGGTAGAACCCGGGCAGCGGGCAGCTAATTTACCACCAGCCACTCTTTCCTCATCACACATCACGAGGCCATTGAGTGGTTGGCTCTCATTTTTTCGTATTATTTGTAGCTAGTTTGGAGGCCTCTGCTCCACACTCCCCCGAGTCCTTTGGGAATCTCATTGCTGGAATCAGATCTTCTAAGTTTTTATTTGGCCCTCTGCACCCTGCTGTACTCCAGGCATAGCACCCAGGATGTAGCATGTGATGGACCAGTCTGGCAACGCCAACGTGCAGGGCAGCACAGCAAGAGTCTGCTCTTCAAGTAGTAGGCCTTCCTTGCCAGCTTGTTTTTGCATTATTAGTAAGGCTGCCTTTGAAGCAAGAAAGCACCTGTGTGCAGAGGATGAGCTACATGTCCTGGAAGGTGACACCTGAGGCCATACCACAGTCTCTCTCCCCAGTCACGGCCTTTTCAACATGTTGATAGGCAACTGGAACCTAGCAAGCCGACACTGGGTCAGAGCAATAGGTAACTAAATGGATTGGAGTGTATGTGACAGCAATGCACACAGTTAGGGTGTTTCAAAGCAGTGGAGGAAAAATTTTAAATGTATTGGTCAGCTGTCTAGTTATCTAAGGAAAAAATTGATTTGTATCTTAATGGGACAGGGAAACCATTTAATAAAGGGGAACACACACACACACACACACACACACACACAAACGCACTGGAATGCACCCTTGACTGGGGAACTTTCTAAGCATGAGCACAAATAAATAAATAAATATAGACTAATTTGGCTATATACAAATCTGGAAAGATCTCTCTGGCAGATAGAATTTGCACCTTTAATTCCACTTCTATAGTTACTTCCCTTTGTGTTTGGAGTGGCAAGTTCTGGCCAAGGGACATGGCGGGGATCATATGGTGTTGTCTCTTCTCTCTTCCTATAGCAGCCATGTGTTGCCTCTAAGCTGACAGCCAGGAGATGCCAAGAGAGGGCAGGGCTGTGAGCCTTCACGTCGTCAAGTGTTGTGACTCAGTCTGGCAGCAGCCTCTGTGTCGGGTATTTGTTATGTAAGATGATAAGTCCCTCACTTCCGACAGTAGAGCTGGGATTTCCGTTGCCTGGCATCAGATTCATCCCTCCTGTGATTCCAAATGGGAGGGAAAACACAAACAACAGAAAAAATGCTTGCAATGTTCTTCACAAAAATTAGTTTCCTGTAAATATGAAAACTTCTATAAATAACAAGATAGAGACAGTCTAACCCTAAAAGAACAAAGAGTAGGAATAGGAACATAAAAAATAAGTAACTCAATAAGTTCAGGAAAACCCTGAGCTTTACTAGCAATTAGAAAAATACAAGTTAAAGCAACATTTAATGGTTTTGCCACCAACAAACACGGCAAGCCCTGGGAGAAATGTACTATCTTCCAAAAAGCAATCTGGAAAAATGTATTGAAAGATTGGTAATGGCCATCCCCTTTTGTTGGAACGTGGTCCAAGAATGGGGTCATGTGAAGAGAATTCTGGGTGCTTGTGAGAAAACTCCAAGACAAAAGTTTTGTGGCCTCATTTTTTTCAAACACAAAATTGTTCTTGGAATATGCTTTTGTGTTGCCCCTAGGTGTAGCAGATACAAGTTTACTTCAGATTATTAATCGTGACGGGCTATGGTTATTTGTTTACAAGCCTCTACGGGAAAACCATGCTTTTGTCAGGTAGGGTTTGCCCTCGTGACTGTATGCAGCTTGAATGCGTGAGGACTTTCCTCTGTGACCTTTCTTAACCCTCAGGGTATAAATTGTCCAAGGCTCTGAATAAAGCTATTAGTGAGACTTTGCTCTGTCTCATTCTTAGGCCCCATGTCCCACGTCTTGCCACCTTTAGAGGAGTGGTCACCCTTTGGGAATCAGTGTGCAGTAATAGTTCATGAGGTGTAAGAATTTGCTATGAGGATATCTGCAGAAGTATTGTGGATAACTACAAAATAGTGGGGGCCGTAGGCAAAGAGAACTTGGCTTAAACGGGTTTCAGGACGGCCCCAGGTACCCTGAACGTGCAGCAATTAGTCTGCAGCCAGGGAACATTTGTTGACACCCAGCAACACCCATTATTCATTATTCATTATTAAATGAACCACAGACTGACAGACATCAGTAAGGATGAAGGAATTTTGTTTTCATTATTAAGTGAGTTTACATATTTATGCATGTCATAAATAGCATGGAAGAAAATACATTAGTACCTATCACATTACTCCTGGACTTGGTCCCTACTTCCTGTTTATTGCCTATATACAAACATGTGTCGCTTATGGCTCCTTGGGCAAAGGTACTCAGAGCTGAGCCTGTGAAATCCGAGCTCAACCGCTCAGTTTGACATGGTGGAAGGGGAGAACTCCCAGCTCCCACAGGTTGTCTGCTGGCCGCCACTTGTGCACTCTGGCACACCCACACACAGATGAGTGTGATGCCAGAAGCTTTAAAACATGTGATTTCTTAAAGCTGGGGACGGTAGCCCACCACTGTACTAGCAGGACATGGAAAGGTGAAGCAGGGGGTTATGATTTTGAGGCCAGTCTTATCTCCATAGCAAGACCCACACACACAGTGAGACACTCATTTACAACAACAAAACATGTACGAGTTTGAAGTTAGAAAACTTACTCCAAAAATAGTTCTCAGTGAACACAGGGAGTTATGGTTTTAATGGGTCTGGCTGAGATAGAGTGAGGTGTTTGGTCTGTGATGGGGGAAGTCCTTCTGCGTATACGTTAATAAAGCACTATTGGCCAATAGGGAAGCAAGCAGGTAGGACTAGGAGTCAAGGAGGATTCTGGGCAACAGAGGCACAGTCAAGATATAGGACACCAGAGGAGTAAGAGGTCTGGACCCTTTCTCCGGTAAGAGAAGACCACATGGAAATATCCAGACTAGCAGTTATGGGTTAATAATTAAGTCAGAGCTAGCCAATGAGAAACCAATCAAACAGCCAACAGTGTCTCGTGTGTTACTTGGGGACTAAAGCGATAACGGGATCCAGGCGGCTGGCGGAAAGACTACACGTTACAGGCCCACAACAAGGATATGAGAATATCCCAAGATGCTCCTGCAGGTCCCACCCAGGTGTAATTAATACTTTATACACAGATAGAGTCTGCTTCCCCTTCAGCTTCTGCTCAACACGTTGTCTTGAACGGCAGACAGTGCTGCATGCTGTCTACCTGAGGCCCAGTCTGCTGTTCTAAGGGTCCTTACTTTAAAAGGACTCTGCATTTCTCTGTCACGATATAGAGCAAGTAATTTAAAATTGAACTCTCGGGGAATAATTTTATTCCTTTTACTTCCAAAACTGGCCAGGGGCCATGAGACTATGTACCTCACCATACCCCTTCTTATTGGCAGAGGAGCAAGCAGTGGTCTCTTCTAGACAGGTAATGAGTGTTTTGTCGTAAGAGAAGAGGTAGATGGTTTTTTTTCCCCCACAGCTGGCTTCTGCCAACCCCTGTGCTGACTTACTGTTTTCCAACTTACCACTTTCCCTAATGCATGGAGCCGGGAACAGGGATTACATCTCCGTTCCCGGATACCTCTGTCTTGCTTCCACACAATATTGAAAACCACTGTTTCCCTTAAGGCCGTCATCAGTGTGACCTTTCAGAACCCACACGTGGCAGCTGGAATTTCTCCAGGACTCCTTTTTTTTTAATGAAGGAAACTATTTTATTAAACTAAGAGCAGGACTGACAGGGAAGTAGGTTGCATGGGGGAAAACTGAAATTTATTATAATTACATCTATCACCCAGGGGCCCAGCAGAAAGTGGAAAACTTCTCTCAGCTAGGTTAGCAAAGTCTCTTTCACTAAGGGACTCTTTACAGTGTCTTGACAGGGTTTGGGGAACCCAGGAGAGGGGTGAGGCCATCCAGAAACTGCCAACTGTGGGGGGGAGGATGTAAGAGATTGTGACCTGAAGGAAACAAGCTAGGGGCGAGACTGAATAGTGACACCACGTTGTGTCCCCTGAGCCAGGAAGGATAGTATCAGTCTCGGAGCAGGGCAAGGGCCTCAAAGGAACAAGGGGAAAATACTCTACCTCAAGCCCTCTGAGACATCCCTGCTGCTCTTCCATTGGCCAAATCCTAGCAGGAAGGAGCTGAAGGGAACCATGGTTGTGGCCAGAAAATTTGCTGTCCAAAGCATCTTCAGGCGTGTGGCACACTGGCCTTAGCGCATCACACGCACTATCTCTGCTGTGCTCGCTCCTCTCGGGTACATAAGACTTCCCTTTTCTTTGACCAGCACCCCCCCCCGTCGTCTCTGCCCCTGCTCCTAGGCACTGGAAACCACTCTACTATCTGACTTCAACGTTTCGGTTTCCACATAGGAGGTCATTTGGTGTTTGTCCTTTTGTGTTTTGGTTTTTTGAGACAGGGTCTCTTCACGCAACCTTGACTGAGCCTGGAACTCACTGTGTAGAGTGGAGTTAAGGCGTGAGCCTGGCAGCCTTTGCCCTCCTGTGTCTGACCTGCTTTATATGTCACCCAAGGATATCCAAGGGCCGTGAAGAACTGAATTTCTGTCATTTTCAAAGCCAGGCAGTGTCCTATCGCGCATATATAGCACTTTAAAAGCCATTCATCTTTTGATGGACGCTTAGCTTGATTCTGTACGTCAGCTATTACGTAGAGGGACACGATGAACACGAGAGTGCAGATGTCTTTCAACGTCTATTCATTTTCTTTACACGCATTCTTAGCAGCAGGGTTTCTGGATCATCTGGTGGTTCCATTTTTTTTTTCTGAGGAACCTTTGTGATGTTTTC